AAGTGACACCAGCGATCAATAATGTATCGGTAATAACTCTACATATATGACTTAAAGGTACCTTTTTTATTTTATGCATTTTCTGCAGATTTTTCTTTATGATTATTTAGGTAATCTTAAGGCAGCGCAAAAAGATGGCCTTCAAAGTTTTCTCACTGAATTGATAGAGTTTTTCTCTCTCAAATATTACAAGAACACACACGCGCATTTTTTTTTTTTTATGACATACATACAAACCACACTCTGACATCTATACCAACACACCCACACAATTATAGCTGCATTATTTATCCAATTGGCGCTATAATATGCAGAAGCAGAAAACAGAAATAAAGCGAGTATTTTCTTTATAGGTCAAATCTGAAAAAATGGCACCATCTGGTAAAAAATAGTAAAACATTACATTTTAAAGCCTTGCCAATATAATGAAAGCCTATCAACAAAAATTGCATAATTTTACAGTTAAATGGCACTGCGCTTAAAAATAGCAGTTTTAATTGGTTTCAATGGGGACATTTTTGTCCTTAAGGTCCTGAGAGGAACAATTTTTTGTACCTAGTGCAAAACAGATTTATTAAGGGAAATGGAAGTGAAATAGTAAAATTCCAATAAAAATACACACCTGTGCCAAAATGTATGCAGTTGGCAATAACACAGGCAAAATGGTCAAAAAAAACTAAACTGAAAAGGACAAAAATGTCCAAAAGTTCACACAAGGGTTAATATGTATTGCATTTTTTATAGTAATGTGTGCTAACTGTTTCTGTTTTCTTTCTGAAGTTGCAGAAAAGGCCACGTTTGATAAACAATAAGTTATGTCTTCCATGGTGGTTCTGGCATGTCTGCAAGTATGTTTTACTGTAAATGATTTTCTTTTACAGTGCACTAAAGCAGCTCTATTACAAGGCCATAAGCAAGACTGGTTTTACGTGAGTCATGTGGCCTAACCTCTGTCAGAGCTGTAAAAGAGTTGCACTTGGAGGCTTGTCCACCTGTGACTAATATACTTTAGCTGTTTAGCACATGAATTGCTGAATGTGAGTTTTGGCTGCAGTTGATGAAAGGATACACTAATGTATGTAAATGTCTCTGTGCAGAGTTATATATCTTTCTCCATCCATCCGTCTGTCTCTAACTCTTACAATCTTTTCAGCCTGTCTTATCCTGTTGTGTCATGCACATTTAGAACGACTGCAATGATCGTCACAAGGATTGATAATCATCCCTTTCAGAATCAGCAGTCATCTTCATGTAAAAGCATATTGGTAGCTTACACATTTGAAAATTCAGTCATCCTTTACTTCAGACCCGCATGACTTACTTTAACAAAAAAAAAAAGAAGAGAGATATTAGGCAGAATGTCCTGCTCTTTTCCAAGGAAGTGAATGGTAACGAGGCTGTCAAACTTCATAAACAACAGAATTATAAAAATAGTTCATCGGAAGCCATATGATAGCTTGAATAGGTTTGAGGCCTGATCTTTAGGTTGTGGGATGTTTAGCATGAGTTTGAGATTTGTTTTGTTTTGTTTTAGCAATCAGCTGGTTGAATGAAAACCAATAGCACCAAAACCAATTTTTTTCCCTGTCATCCTGTACTAGGTTCTCGGCTGCACTCCAAATGGCTTTTGGAACGAGGTTGTATGTGTATGTGAATAAATGGAAGTGTGTTTCTCTTTCCTTCTGTCAGTTGTCAATATGTGCGAGTGTGTCAGATACGAAAGGAATTGCCCTTGAGGAAGCCGTGGAGAACAGACAGCTGGGTTAAACACAGAAGTGTGTGCATATCAGAAAGCGAAGGGTTTGCAATGATGGTTTTTCTCTGACAGATAGATCCCGATGTACCTTTTCACCAGCACATGTTTATTGAGTTTTTGCCACTGCTGCACTGTGGCACAAACCTTACATGTATTGTATTTTTCAGCAGTCTAAGAGGTCTATTATGCAGTCGACTATATAAATATGCATTTTAAAGCTCTTCTGAATGTCACTGGTTTGCTAGATAGTGGTTAGTGTATACTGTATGATTACTTGAATAAAGTAATCGAGAGTATCTAGTTCTCTGCACTATTGAAAATTGAGGTCAAAAGGTGGGTTTTGCAACATTGTCAAAGAAGAACCATTTCCCCAAAGGACCTTTCAGTGAACAGTTCTTAAAAGAACTGTTTTCTTAGAGTCAAGAACTTTTTTCTACTATAAAGAAGCTTTTGATCAATGGAAATGTTAAAGGTTCTTCATGGAACCATCAATAACAGCCATCTAGAACACCCTAGCAAATACTTAGTGCTAAAAAGCACCCATTATACCTTAGAAACTGCTTTAAAACACCCACAATACCCTAACATTGTGGCAATACTTTTATACCAGCATTTTGTTTTTCATTTATTGTAATTTATTTTTTTGGTACTTAAAGATTCCATTGCTGTTTTGTGATATTGTTTTTCTTGGAGAGGCACATTTATTGCACGGTTCAGTCGGTGCATTCGCAGAAAGGAGGATCTGAGTGTGTCTGAGTCATCCAGAGCAATCTGAGAGACCATTACTGACCATCCTCTTCCATTCGCTCTCCACTGCACTCACCACTAACTGCTGTCATCAACCCACTTTTCTAAGTGATACAATGCTTCTGTCCTGTTGTGTGCAGAATTGAATGGCTTTTAACTCAGACCTCTACTGACCCAATATGAGTGGTCATGTGGCCTCAGGTTTAGGCTGCTGGTATTGTGATGCTGTTATGAGTATTAGGCCTTGGTGAGGAACTTATTTAATTCAAAAATTCGTTTTTCACCATCAGTCTTTTAAAATATGGAAAACAGAATCCTGGACATTTTGCTAGACTTCTGTGTTCGACAGAACAGAAGAAAAAGTCATAAAGGTTTAGAGCGACATGAGGGAGTGTAAATGATGACAGAGCTTCATTTTATAAACTGTGCCTGCATGATTGATTGATTGATTGATTGATTCCAACCCTTATCTGTGATATTGTGCACCTACAGTAGCGGTGAGATATTTCTGGTTCTTGTTCGGAGATATGGGTCATTCATCATCTCTCGCTCGTGGACAGCAGGTGATTGATCACAGTAATTCACTGTTGCTGGGTTATTCGGGCGTCATTCCCTAAGAGAGTCACACTTCAGTACCATAAACACTGTAGTAAGTAGGTTCACACTGTACTAGACATGCAGTACACCTGTCTTGCACTCTATAAGACTGTTTTTAGAGTGAATTTGTGTCTGTCTGTTCCAGGGCCAGCGCCAAGGGGGAGCAATCACGCTGTATTTTTCGTGTTTACGCTGTACCGCTTTACACCACCAGGTGGCGCTGTAGATTGCCGCAAAATCTGTCCCACTCAAATTACCCACCCAGTTGCTTAGTGAAATGAACAGCTATGTTTGATGCTTTTTGAGTCTGTCATGTCATTAGATTTGGACAGTTAAATCACCCTCATAAAAACAAGCATTCTTAACATATACCGTATAACAAAAAATCATTCAAAATCAGTCTGTTTGTCTTGTTTTTTCATAATACTCCAAACATGCATTCCAAACACCAAATTGCATAACGTATAAGAACTTATTTCAGAAAACGAATCTTGAATGAAATTGTATTTTGTTCTTTAGTTTTTATCTAAATTTGGTGAAAATGTATGCTTGAATCAACATTAAATTAGCATTTGGCCGTGGCCTAATATGTTTAAACTCAAGATGTGTTTTTTGATCAGTTTTACTTTGCATGGAAGTCTTCTTTCTAGAAAACAAGACAAATATAGGCCTTTCTGATTAGGAAAAGAAATTCATTGCAGATATTTCATCAAAAGAAGAGGACGCAAATAAATGGAGAAAATGTTTTAGTCGATATTTTAAGACAAATAAGGATTGCAATTCACAAATGAAATAATCTCGAACGTCTTGTTCATCATGTTGCACAAATCATTGCGTTGATTCCATTCATTCCATTCACAAAACATTTCAGTCAGCTTTTTGTTATTTCATGTTTTAAACCCCATGCTTAGATTTGGCAACAGAGTATCACTACTAGCCAAGGCTTTCATTCATTTACTATTCAGCCAGGCTTTCATTGACCAGCAGGACTTTGGACCTAGCAGAACAAAGACACTAAAGCATGTCTGAGCTAAATAAGGAGCGTTTCCACATAATCACTGATGTTTTGCAAGGCAATGAAAGGCTTGAGCCCAAGTTTCTGTCCAGCAGGAAACAAACCTTAACAAGTCAGCTCTTGCCTTTCCGCTCAGTGTACTTTGCTTTGTTGTGACATTGCCACAGGCACAGAAACCTGTTTGACATACCAATGCATTAAAGAGCTTTCAGAAATGAAAGTAACAGATTCAGTGCCCCAAAAAGCATTTGGACATTTTAGTTGCACACATAGATGTCTGATTGTCATTGCACAACATTACAAAGATCACAGCAAGTGTCACCTGTGCTCAAATGCTGCATGAACATGTGAGTGAGGTGTCCAAATACATTTGAGGCCTCTGTATTTTTACAGATGTATTCCAACAGTGTTAATTGCATTTATATTGATATCTTTTATTTATAAATGAACTTTTTCTATTTACCATGTTATTTTTACTATACATTTTGTGCAATCTGTACATATCATGATTCACGTTTTATATTGTTTATTATTGTTTGCATGTTTCGAGTCTGCAGATATAACGCATAGACTATGAAAATGGAGTGACTCGTAATTAACATATTAATAATTATTTATTTTATACACTTATTTACAAGGATTGTTATTGTTTGCATGCACAATGCATGTGCAGAATCTGCGAACATAACGAATAGACTATATGAAAACCATAAATGTAATATTTCACCCTGATTTATTATCGTAGCATGTGTCTCGTTATATCAGTGCATTGTGAATTATTTTGCAGTTTGACTTTTCCTGCATGTTGCTGTGACACGCGGCTGTCATTTAACTCGTATAAGCCCCTGTTACTCTCAAAACTGATCGGATTATGATTCTGTTGATATGCGACCCTATATTGAGGTAATGGATTCCATGTTCATTCATAACAGGTTTTAAATGTTTGTTTACATATGATTATGTGGGATAGGTGCAAATCATTGCTTTTAATAATGGCATTTAAGCTTAATTAGAATAAACCTCTAACACTAACTTTACATTTTGGCACTTAAAAGGATTTTTCACCCAAAAATGTAAATTTTGTCAATTCATCACCTTCATAAAATTGGCTCAGTGTTTATTGTCCACAAAAAAACAAACAAAAAAGTTTAGACCGAAATTTAAAATGTGAATTTCAAATAAAATTCAAATCTTATAAAAAAATTAAAAATAAATCCCATATAAAATGTTAACAAAAAAAAAGTATAATAAAAAATGTCAGTAAAAAAAAATGTCAGCAGGAAAGATTTCAGCATTCAAAAAAATCATGGTTTTGTTTATTATTAACTATTTGCATCTATTTGATTTGATTTAAATAATCATATTTTCAAAATGCATTATTTCAAATTGCACAGAATAAGCATGAATCTGTTTATTGCAAAAACAATTCCTTTTTTTCCAGTTAAAAATCTTAAATTTAGGCCTAAATATTTTTCGAGTGCACAATGAAAATCAATAGGCTCCAATGTTGACCAACGTGTTCTTCAAAATATATTCTTTTGCATTCTTTTACATTGTAAGGATCTAGTTTTCCATGCATAAGTTTAGTAGTGATAATGTTTGCTTTTCTTGAGGGTAAGGTATTGAAACCATGGCATTGTGGGTAATTTGGTCTCATTTCGGGAGACGTCAGTGCTCCCATGCAAAAGATCATCCACCCTGCCCTCAGGACACCTGCACTGACAGTCTGCTCTGATCTCTGTCCCACTACCGTCACATACTGTATGGTGCAACCATAACCGCTTATTTCACATGAAATCTGCAGCACCCCGCTGCATCCTGATCTCCTCACCACACACAGTTTCTGTAGAGCTCACTTTACACCATCCAAACACCACACTTCTTTAGTGTCAAATAATAGTGGACTCATTTTTTGGCTGGAAACCTGTCCTGGTGAACCTCACAAACACATATACAGATCATATTTTACCCCAAAATCAAATGCATTAAGAAAAATTGTGATTTTTTTTTTTCCTATTCTTGTTTTTTCTCAGTAATTACAGTAATTTGTACAGTAATACTTTTTTTTCATTTTTTTATTTTTTCATTTATTAATGCATTGATTTAATGTAAAGGCAGTACTGCCTTTACTCTCATTGAATCTTACATTACAGTAATGAGAGTGATATTTTTTTCAAAATCAAAATCTTGGATGTAATATGTGCTTAATTGTCATGCAAACAATGCTATAATGCAAAATGTCTTAAAGGTATAGTTCACTAAAAGAAAATTGTCATGATTTACTTACCCTCATGTTGTTCCAAACCTGTATAAGTTTCTACTATTGAGCACAAAAGAATATATTTATGAAGAATATGTAACTAAACGGTACCCATTGACTTCCATAGTATGGAAAAAAATACTATGGAAATCAATGGCTAACGTCAACTCTTTGGTTACCAACATTCTTCAAAATATCTTTTGTGTTCACATTTTCATTTTTGGGTGAACTATCCCTTTAACTGGCTTAATTTACTTTAACAAAATATAATTTATTATTTTGTTCTTTTGAATTTAAGGTCAGACCACAACAAATTAAATTGTAATGCACGATATGGCGTCATTGGAGGCACCAATCTTAGTTAAAGAAGCACAATAATACCAAATGTATTGCATTTATTGCTGTCCTTGCTATTGTAATGCAATCTTGACAAACAGTTTCCTACACTCAGGAAATAAAAGGTACAAAAGCTGTCGCTGGGGTGGTACCTTTTAAAAAGGTGCACCTTTGTACCTTATTTACCCCTAAAAGGTGCATGTTAGTACCTTAAAGATGCATATTAGTACCTCAAGTACCTTAAAGATGCATATTAGTACCTTACGTGTGCATATTATCTTAATGGTACATATTAGTACCTTTTGAAAGGATACTGGCCCAGTGGTAGCTTTTATACCTGTTTTCTGAGATTGTAGACTTCAGCCTTCCTCCATTCAAGCAGATAGGAGCTGTGCTTGTATACAAAGAAAATAGCTGCCCAGGGGCGTTACCAAGATGGCCACTGATTGAACTGTCTTTCCTTGAAGAGGCTTTGGTGAGATTCACCCATCCGTTTGCCTTAGAGATGTAGATTGTGATTGCTTTTGTGAAGGTGAAGGGTGTAAGGGGGTGTTAAGACTGGGTTTTGGAGGAAAGGCCTGGTGGCACACAGCGTGCCTGTTGTGATTGTATGGGACAGGCAGAGAGGGCCAGGAGGCTCGGTCTGACAATGGTGAAGCTGAATGAAAACAAGTCACTGTGCATGTGTACATGTGCCCATCCCTCTGGCTGCATGAATGCTGATCGGCAGTGACTGCATGCAAGCTAAGTGGTGAGTAAACTCAAAAGTGCTCCACAGGGAGAAAACGCCTCCGGCTCCATCACTCACACACATGCATGCAAAACATGGTGCGTGATAGTTCATGTGAGCTGGAAGTCTGCATTCTGGGAGAGGGTCTTGTTGCTGCTTTTGTTCAAACCTGTCACTTTTCACATTTGACATCCCGTCACTTGTTGTCTGCAGAGGGCTGCCGCTCAAGGGTGGAGAAGTATATTATGGAGTTTTGCTCCACTGCAGGCAAGTTCAGCGGATGCCAGTTGAACTTGTCTGATCATTGGGTTTGTTTTATCAGAGGTCTGACATTTCTCAGTGCGGTAGCTCAAGCGAATCTGAGGGCAGCGTATCGGTGCAGTGTTTTAACTTGACTTGTGTTTTGACTGGCCTTTAGCTTTTTGGAGATTGCATCAGTCACAGCACAGACTTTTGCACGAAGGCCTTGTTTCGTTTGAGCAAACATGCTGCAGAGGTGTATCTGACAGCTTTTGGCCTTTTAGCATCGTCATAGCAACATATTAAAAACACTCAGAACACTTTAGGAACTGAATAACAACCTTAGCATCATGATGGTGAATTTTGATCAAGTAAACACCACTTAAATAATTTCCAGAAATTTGATTTGATTTGATTTGATTTTTTCCTCCATCCATTTTCTAAACTGCTTGTCGTTTTGTAAGGTCATGGGTATTTTTATTTAATTTTTTATTTTATTCTCCAAACTGCTTGTCCTTTTGTAGGGTTGTGGGATTTTTTTTTATTTTTTTTTATTTTACAAACCTCTTATCCTAGGGTCATTGGGTATTTTATTTTATCATTTTTTTTAATACCATTTTTTATTTAGATATATATTTTTTATTTTATTTTCCAAACCACTTGTCTTATGTAGGGCTACTGGATTTTGCACAATTGGTGGCTGACTAAATACTTTTTTGCCCCACTGTATATGCTTGATTACACCATTTCAGATTCCTTTTGTTTTGTACAGATAAAGCCTGTAAAAAGACAATATTTGACCACATTTTGAAGATATTTATGAAGATATTTATAATATGTTAATATTAAATATAAAAAATATTTTTAAAAAGTATAGTAAAAAAAAGTAAAAAAATTAAAGAAAAATCAATTATTTTATTTATTTATTTTTATGTATTTGTTTATTTTGTCATTTATATTTATAGTGTTTACACCTTTTTTTTTTTGTCATATCCTTTGTTTTAGTTTTTTATGGAAAAAGCCTGAAAAAGTCCATTTGTTTTTTATATTTTATTTATATAATATTCATTATTGAATATTATTCACTCACATTTTCTTCAGAAAATGTACATATCACAATGTACAGATCCTTTTTTCTGTCAGAAGAAACATTTAAACTAAACAGCTATCTTTTTTTTTGATGCAAGAAGTAAAATACAGTAAGAAATCTAGTGAAAAAAAAGTTTGTCAAGTTAAAAGTATAGTTCACCCAAAAATGAAAATGACCCTATGATTTACTCACCCTCAAGCCATCCTAGGTGAACATGAGTTTCTTCTTTCAGACAAATACAGTCGGAGTTATATTAAAAAATGTCCTGGCTCTTCCAAGTTTTATAATGGCAGTGAATGGGGGTCGAGATTTTGAAGCCATCCATCCATCATAAAAGTACTCCACACGGCTCCGGGGGGTTAATAAAGGCCTTCTGAAGCGAAACGATGCTTTTGTGTAAGAAAAATATCCGTTTTCAAAACTTTATAAACAGTAATCTATAGCTTCTGCTAACTGTCGTACATGCGTTCACAAGAGAGCATTTACAATCAGAGGATGATGGAGGATGTAGGCGTAGCATAAGCTCCGGTGAGAATACATGTATGCTAGTCTCGTGAGAACCAAGTTTTGATTACAGCAAAGGAAAATCCAGTCTCCTCTTGGCTTATATCGAAATCCTCTGACATTTTTGCTTTACAAATCCTCATTCTGTACTTCTAATTCGTGACCAGTGTTTTGGTTTGCTCTCTCCTCTGCGCTTCCGTGTTCGTCACTTCACACTGGAGCTTACGCTACGCCTACGTCAGCTGCTGAAACGCCACTCTCTCGTGAACACACTTACCAGAGAGTTGATGATTAACTGATTCACAGAAATGAATCAAACTTTTGCGAAGAGAGGATTAAAACTAGTTTCTTGACAGTCTTTTGGAAACTTTATGGGCACATAAAACGCATGAGGGACCCAGCAGTAGTTTGAAGTCCGAAGCATCATTTTCCTGACCTGCTCGTCCTGCGAGAATATTCCCATCCCACAAACCCACGCAGTAAACCGATGATCATTCAACGTGCTGAGCGTCTAATGGGGCAGGATGGATGCATTTCACACCTATGGAAGTGATATAGCGACATTACAGCATCTTAATGGACACAATGGTCCATAATGGATTCTGAACAGTCTGCTTTTTGTCAAAATGATGTAGGATCTCACCAATCTGCTTTTGGAGATGAAAGAGGTGGTTTAGTTTTTATTAAGCCAGCGATGCACAGCAGCACAAGCGTCGTTCTGCTAATTGTCTCCTCCTTGATGCTGATGTGCCGGATTGCTCTGTAATTATGATAATGAAGACAAACACTTAGTTGGCTCTTTCATTTGGGTTTGTATCATCCTCTGGGATGCAGCTGCTCAAACGTGGCCAAGAAGCTCTCCAGTTGTCTCCCATTCATTGCAGTTGTTTCCTTTGTGTCGCCTCTGCAAATACTCTTTCATATCACCCAATTTATTGTCGCAATAGTCACGCAAAATGTCCCGTTTCGCAGTGTTCGCAGGAGGTTGACTGTCTGTCACGATAACGCAGCAGATAAAGTCTGTAAAAATGAGAGCTGTTTGTTTCTCGTCTGGCAAACCTGCTGCTATGTGCTGAACGATTATTAGGAGAGTGTTTCCTGCTATAGGATTGGGTTCAGCGAGATGTAATTCAGACTTTCTGGTCAAGAGGTTTGTTTATGCCACTGGCCTTACAGCATTTACACTAGACTCCTACTGTCAAATAACACAGTTCTCATAGATATGGCAAACAGGGTCATTATAACAACATTTTGACAGCTGATACCAATACCAGTCAATTTCAATATGAATATAAATAATATTATATATATATATATATGTGTGTGTGTGTGTGTGTGTGTGTGTGTGTGTGTGTGTGCGTGTGTGTGTATGTGTATATATATATATATATATATATATATATATATACACAC